GGCCAACCTCTAAGAGAGGTGGCCCCGGGGGAGCTGGAGGACAATGGTGAATTAATGCGTTATAATAAATATATGTAATCATATGTGTTTCTTGTATATTTGTATCATGTGGGTTTACCCTAATTCATATCGGTCTGTTGTGTGTACACTAGGGTTAAGTAGGGCGGTTTACCTAGGTTAGCCCGTCGGCCACTAGGGCGTAGGTTGAGCTGCCGACGGGCGCCCCCTGTGTCCCCGGGGGAAGTTGGGTCCGCTCCTCCTGGTGGGCGCTCAGGAGGCAGCGTGGTGGGCGATGGGCAGCTCGGCTAGGAGGTCGAGTGTCGGGGAGTCGGGACACCGTTTGCGACAGATAGCCAACACTTGCCTGAAGTCGCTGGAAAATGATTTTCCACCGCGATAGTACACTCCTACACTGGCTTATTCGATAGTAAGAGAAGAGGGGTGGAACTTATAGGAGATACAAGCATTGACAAAATTTTTCACTTTGTTCTAAGAAAAGGTAACTTTGTCCATGGGATGTACAGAGACAGGCCACCCCACGGTCCTCCGCTGAATTTTCTTTTTGCTCGATGAAATAGTCCCATTGTTGATAGCCATTTCTTCGAAACCCAAAACCTCGTCTTTTCATCGTATAAAAAACAATTGGCAAGGACTAAACAATTTGATCAAGCAGAAATGGTATCCAACGGAGAAACCTGGGGCGGCTCTCATTCTCTCTATATCGAATAGTCAGAGCGACTTTTTTGGAAACTAAGGTAAAAATTTTGTGGTTTCAAGTGTTTGGATTTTCGTCCGATGACTTTTTTCAGCATCTTCTCAAACTGCGAGTGTTTGGATAATCCATGGGCGGCTGCATCATGATCATCAGCGGTGCATTACTCCATGAGAAGAAAAGCGAAAAAAACGACAACAAGTAAGGCTATCCCCTAACAGTCATTCGATTGGCTGTTTGTGCAAAGTTGTGAGACATGAGATATATGATGGAACAAGCCAGAGACAGCTTCCATTCTTCCAAACTCTAGTGTTTGCCATCTGGTATACCATCTATTGGGGTTATTAACTTCGCGTATAGCTCTACCCTTTCCGGCCCGCGCACTTTTCACGTGGCGGGCGTGTGTGTGTTTCTATGCTCACCGTCGAGCCTAAACATCATATATTTAATCTGTATTCCCATTAAAATCAATATTATGTCTCGTTTGTGTCTTTCTCATGTCTTAAAGTATATCTGTGGTAAATATGACAGAAAGCCGTCCTGTAATAAAAGTGACAGGGCCACACAAAGGAAGGCAGGAGTGAAAATTGTTCAAAATAAGTTGTAATGAGGAAAAAGGGACTAGAAAGTGTCCGAAACTTCAATAGTATCAGCTACGACGTGCACGATATGTCATGATTGCTTTTGTATGAATTGTTTTCAAATGAGTTATAACTGTTTTCTTTGAGTTCGAAGTGGAAGTCCACTTAGTTTTTGGTTAGTTTAGGAACTATTTCGAGATTGTAGTCCAGGTTTTTTCATACATACGGCATGAGTATGTTACATAGATATGTAACAACATAAAACATTTTGTCGAAAAACCGAATCCTCGGAAAAATCACTCCTTGAAGTCCCTGACACCCCATGGGTGTCAGGCGGTCCGGAAAGGGTTAATAGATACAGATACATGTATGCATTATTCAAAGAGTCGG